GAACATTGCCAACCTCCAGAAATGTGTATTCTCCAAGTAAGTAGGTGGAATACAGAACATTTTCCTTTACCTTGCAGTGAAAAATGCCCATGTTTGCTCCTTGGTATAGTTAGGGACTACTACCATTTTACCTTACACACCAGAAACATAAGTAAACTAAACTCCAGATACCTAATTGCACGGCCTTTTCTGACTTAGCTAATGAAGTCTCCTCCACATGGAACAACTATTCCATTCACATATGGCTGCTAATATTTTTATTATTGTTTTCTTAAATAAAAGACTTATAAGGCTTTCTTAAATAGAGAAACCTAACAATCTAAAGATGTCCATTTTCTTCCAAATTAGAACATATTTTTGACAAGCTGGTAGCAAAACTAAAAGAAAAAGAACTAAGTGGTAATTTCAAATGCAACACACATAAGGTAATTATTTAATCTATGAATAATGGCAGTTTTATTTCTCTTACTCCAATCCTTATATCTTATTTGCTAGGCTAGAATGTTCGGGATTACTAAATAGAGAAAACATCCTTATCTGGCTCCTAATATCATAAGGAAAGCACTTAAAATTTCACCATAAAACATGAGATTTGCTTATAGGTGTTTTGTGTGTGTGTGTGTGTGTGTGTGTGTGTGTGTGTGTGTATATGTGTGTATATATATATATATATAATCAGTCATCAGATTAAAGAAGTTCCTGCTACAACTGATTTGCTGAGTGTTTTTTAAATAATAAATGGGTATTACAAACCTTTTTTCCTGCACCTTCCCCAAATATATAGTATTAATACCAACTGCTATAGACTGAATGTTTGTGACCCTTCAAAATTCATACGGTTAAAACCTAATCCCCAATGTGCTGGTATTTGGAGGTGGGACCTTTGGGAGGTCATTCGTGTCATTATAAAAAGAAGCCCTAAGAACTCTCTTGCCCCTTCTGTAAAAGGACACAGTGAGAAGACAGCCATCTATGAACCAGGAAATGGGCTCTCACCAGACGCTGAATCTGCCAGAACCTTGATCATGGACTTACCTGCCTCCAGAATTGTGTGAGATAAGTATTGTTTCTAAATCACTCAGTGTACAGAATTCTATTATAACAGACTAAGACACTGAGTTTAATGAAAACACCAGTATGTTAGAGTATAAATTGGTATAACATTTGAGAAAAACATTTGGCCTTATATACTAAATTTGCATATATTCATTCCCTACTAAATTCTAATTCCATTGTCTGGTGCAATGCTTATGGTAACATTATTTGTAATAGCCCCTATACAAAAAAGCGTTAACATAGCAGATTCAAAACGAGTAACCTTAGAAAATCCTGCAATATTGAGCCATTGGCTGCTATCTATAAACTTGGCTGATAAACAGTTTCCTACACTGATATAAAACTTACCCTAACCAAAAAGGTGGAAGCACTTCAAGTATCTTCTAACAGATAAATGAATAAACAAATTGTGGTATATATACACACAATGGAATATTATTTAGTGTTTTATAAAAAGGTCGAAAATTCTGACACAAGCTACAAGATAGATGAACTTTGAGGACATTATGCAAAGTGAAATAAGCCAGCCATAAAAAGACAAATACTGTATGATTCCACTTATATGAGGTACCCAGATTAGTCAAGTAGAATGGTGGTTGACAGGAGCTGGGGGTAGGAAGGAATGAGGAATTATTGTTTAATGGCATGGAGTTTCAGTTTTGCAAGATAAGAGGTAGACAGTAATGATAGTTATATAGCAATGAATATATTTATACCACTGAATTATATACTTTAAGGTGGTAAATTTTATGTGTATTTTACCACCTCCTAATAATACCAGCTCTTTTTAAAAATGAAAAATAAATGGACATACAAAAGGCCAAGAGACATATGAAAACATGCTCTAAGTCACTAATCATCTGAGGGATGCAAATCAAAACGACAATGAGGTACCATCTCACACCTGTCAGAATGGCTATCATCAACAAATTAACAAACCACAAGTGCTGGTAAGGATGTAGAAAAAGAGGAAACCTCATGCACTGCTGGTGGGAATGCAGACTGGTGTAGCCACTGTGAAAAACAGTATGGAGTTTCCTCAAAAAATTAAAAATGGAACTCCCATTTGACCCAGTAATCCCACTTCTAGGAATATATCCCAAGAAATCAGAAACACCAATCAGAAAGGATATATGTACCCCTATGTTTATAGCAGCACAATTTACAATACCTAAGATTTGGAAACAGCCTAAGTGCCCATCAGCAGATGAGTGGATTAGAAAACTGTGGTACATCTACACAATGGAATACTATGCTGCTGCTAAAAAGGAACTCTTACATTTGCAACAGCATGGATGGACCTGGACAGCATTATGCTAAGCTAAATAAGCCAGTTGGAGAAAGACAAATATCACGTGATCTCACTCATTTGTAGAATATAATCAACAACATAAACTGATGAACAAAAATAGAGCCAGAGACAGAGAATCATCAAGCTGTCAAATCTCAGAAGGAAGGCAGGGGAGGGTGGGGTAAGAGATCAACCAAAGGACTTGTATGCATGCATATAAGCTTTACCAATGGACACAGACACTAGGGGGCGGGAGGGTGTGAGTGGCTGGGGAGAATTGAATGTGGGGAAAAGGAGACATATGTAATACTTTAAACAATAAAGAATTTTTTTTAAAAAAAGGAAAATAAAAAGTTAACCAAAGCATGGCCATTTAAAAGAGACGATTACTATTTATACTTTCAGAGCTAGAAAAAGATGCATGTTTTGGGGTTTCTTTTGGAGGGAGCAAATGAGGTCTGTTATTTTTTCTTTTACTACTGAAATAATCTTTAAGCATAGCCTCTACTTAAAGTAATTTGTTGCTGGAACTGTCATAATATTCTGTGTCTGCTTTGCTTCCAATTTTGTTCAAACTCTTTTTGACATTTAAGGTCAACTTTATTAGTCTAGATCCAGTAAGATTTCTTCCATAGTACTGTAACATTTGACCAATAAACACTTTTATTTTTTCAAAACAAAAAACTTGCCCTAATTGATGAGGGTGGTTCCCTGTGCCTGGACTATGTTTGCAATCAAGTTGGTTTATGCTTAACAATGGTCTCCTTCTGGGAGTCTGGAATTTGCTAAGTGCTAGGCAAAGAATGCCTATGTGTCCAGACCACAGTAAAATCCTTGGGCACTGAATCTCTAATACGCGTCGCTGGGCAGAAACTTGGCATACATGTTGCTGAATTTTCATTGCTGGGTAAGAGTGAGTTCTGTGTGACCAATCACAGGAAGTCCGCACATGGATTCCTGCAGATTCCAACTGTGTCTTTCTCCCTTATGATCCAGCTGGGTATCCTTACTATGCCTCTGTAATATATCTTAGTTGTAAGCATGACTCTGTGCTAGGTCCTGGGAATTCTTCCAGTGAACCTCAGTACAAGGGGTATAAAAAGTATAAATTGTGGCATACTCTTACAATAAAACACACAGCAATGAAAATAAACAACCTACAGCTATATTAAACAACAGCGATTGAATCTTAAATGATTAATCATTTACTGCCTTTGCCTTGTATGAAAGTTGTTTTTACCCATACTTGACCAAGAATCATTTAAGGTAGCAGTTCTTAAACTTCGTATTCTCAGAATCCCTCCAATTTATTTGGGTTACGTCGATCAATTATCAACTCTCTTAGAAATTAAGACAGAATTTGAAAAATGTTATTAATCCATTTAAAATAGCTATATTTTCAAAAAAAATGTAGTGAGAAGAATGGCACAATTGTTACAGTTTTGCAAATCTCTTTTATATCTAGCTTAATAAAAGACAGCTGGGTTCTTCAAGATGCTTCTGCATTTAATCTGTTGCAACATCTTGTATCAAGCAACCTCTAGAAAATTCCATCATACACTCACGAGAGAATAAGAGTGAAAAGGCAAGTAACATCTTAGTATGATTATGAAAATAATTTTTATCTCTTGGAATTTCTAACAGTCTGAGAGAATCCCTGATTACACTCTGAAAAGTGCAACATGAAAGTTTAATACTGTGGTTCATCTTTACCACCTATAGAGGGTAACATGCAGGAGCATGGGGTACTTTCACTGGAAAGAAATCTTGAAGAATTCAATTTACAAACTTTGGGAACTGGCAGAACTTCCCTTATCGACACTGAGAGTCAAGCCCTACCCAGCTGTCACTGTCAGAAAATCACTCCCTTTTACCATGGGGTCACCACACTTAGTCTAGAAAGAAAAATTGTGTGTACCTCAAAAACTCCAAAGAAACTGTATTTTCATGAGGAGCTATAGAACACTTATTTAATATTATTTGGTACTATTTGTTTAAATTATGAAACTTATAATTTCACAAATTATTCTTCTGAAAATTAAGCTCGATACTTTTCCTTTTTCTCTGGCTTGGAAACAATGCACTAGGCACCAAATATATTAAGTAGCCTGTCGTTAATTTGGTTGAACCTCAGTGGCTTGTTAAAACTCAGTTTTAAGGCATATTCAAAGTTTCTTAATGGAATTAAATCAACAGCATAAGACTATTAGGTAAACATTATAGATTTGTTTCTTTGATAACCTTTTTTTAAAAATATGTTTTTATTGATTTTAGAGAGAGGAAGAGAGAGGGAGAGAGGGATAGAAACAACAATGAGAACCATTGATTGGCTGCTTTCTGCATACCTCCTACTGTGGATAGAGCCCACAACCCATGCATGTGCCCTGACAGGGAACTGAACCGTGACCTTCTGGTTCATTGGTTAATGCTCAACCACTGAGCCACACCGGCCAGGCTTGAAAAACATTTTTATACATGATTGAAATGCACAAATCAACAATTTTACACAAGTTATATTAATAACTAATCTAGTTTGTAGATTTTACCACATTGCTACAGGATTGGGAGTGAGCAGAAATATGTACAACTTCTCTGCTGGCTTCAGTTTTGAGCTATATACTCAGGGAACTGTTGACAGTGATGCTGTACTTACCACCAGTGCTAGAACAAGTGTCCGAACCTTCTCCCCAATCTCAGGTGAGATGTCATTGCCAAACTGTTGTAGAGTGGTGAGAAAGCGTTTTAACTTGCTGAGCTGCCGAGCACCACAGGTGGCTGGCAATTGTTGATTTGTTAGTGCAGATGACGTGGAAGAGGCAGGACCATTGCTGAATCTTTGTGGTGGTGATGGGGCACCATTCAGCGTAGGAGGAGAATGGTTGGTGCCATTGCTTACTAAAAGAAAGCCAAAATGAAAGACTCAATGAAAAACACAAGAATCTTTGATACGTTCTTCTTGTTTGCATTCTCCTTCATTTATTCACTTCAATTTTGTAAAGCATATGTTAAGAGTACACAAAACACTGTTTCTACTCAACAAGATTAAGACATACTGTCAGGTAAAAAAATAATAACAGAGTAACATAGAAGGTGTTAAAACAGAAGAGTAAAGTGCTACTAGAGCACAGAGGACATCTAGCTCTACAGGTGCCATGGGCAAGCGTAGGTAGTTTTAAGACTTCCTGCAATAGTACTGGATGAGATAAGTTTGGAAGAATACATTTCCAATGAATGGACACTTGTGTTCATCATTTATGTCACATCTCCTCAATCTTAGGGTCCCAAAGAAACTAAGGCAGTCTATTAGAATATAGCATGTGAACAAGACACACCAGAAAACAGTCGTTACTGTGAAAAAGTGTTTTTTCTAGGCTATAGGTTTAATGACTTATTCCTATAGTAAGGTATATATATCTTGGCTATTCAGAATATTCATGCCCACCAGAGTCAGTTTTTCTCTGCTTTGACAGTGCTAGATTAACACTTCCAAATACTCATTCAATAAAGTATTTTTCTAGACACCACACAGGACACTCCCATTCTACATTTTGGCTTAAATTATAATACATGTGACTAGTTGCAGTTTTTCTATTTTCCCATTATTCTTAGCCATATTTTGCTAGTTTTAATTTGGTACACAATCCTAGAGCTAAATTCTTAACAGCATTAAGTAAAAATCTCCTTTTTCATTAAAGAGTGAAATTTTTAAAATTACCTAATGTCTAGGAGTCAATATATTTTCACTTACTCATACCCAATCTAAGAATATAAAGCTGTGTCTAAAAACATAACAATTTAAGTTAAGACTTAAGCCAAACTTAAAGAACATAATCATTTAACCTTTACCTCACTTAGAAAACTGTCATTTACTTATATTTTGCCTAATGTCAACTTGTTAATCATGAAAAATCTCTCACTTCCCTTCTTCCTCCAAGCCAGTCATAGTGTTTGACCAACTCTATTCCTACTTCTTGAGTGACCTTTATTTAAATTTGATCTGTAAACTCTTCTTCATCCAGTATAGCTTAAATGACACCTGTATTAAGGATTCCTTGAGCCTCTGCCTTAAGGTAGATTTAGTAATTCTTCTCTGTGCTACACATGCTTCCATTATGTTAATTACCAAATTATACTTATTTGCATTGCCTTAATATATAGCACACTTTTAAAAAATATTTTTTATTGATTTCAGAGAGGAAAGGAGAGAGATAGAAACATCAATGATGAGAGAGAATCTTGATTGGCTGCCTCCTGCATGCCCCCTACTGGGGAGAGAGCCCACAATCTGGGCATGTGCCCTGATCGGGAATCGAACCCTGACATCCTGGTTCATAGGTCAACACTCAATCACTGAGCTACACCAGTTGGGCTATTGTATACTTCTTGATGAATATTCTTACATATCCATGTATACTAAAATTAGCTAAGTTTTGTAAGCTGTGTATACTGTATATACTTTAGCTTTGTTCATTAGCTAGTAATATTAAGTGTTCAGGAAAATTCTGCTGAATATGACTCACTGCTTAAAAGACTAACAGGCTAAGACAAAAAAGGGTGCTTTCTCTTCTAAGTCTTTCATTAAAAAGATCACTAGAGCCACTGGAAAGAAAGCTCAACACTCAGCCTTAGCAATCCTGAAAATTAGTTGCAATGGTCCGCCATTTCTTTGTGTTCACAGAAAAGTCAACTGCCACTGGAGAGCTGCCCTCTTTTGAAGCAGCCCATTAGAATAATACATTATTGTGCTTTTAGCCACTCTGATGCCCAGACAAGCTTTTTCATGGCCTCTTTAGTGAAAGCTTATGATTACATTTTCTGAAATAAAACATGTCCACCCCCCAAGTAGTCAAATATGGAGGTAAAAAGGACCAAATTTATATATACATATCTCCACCTGTATCTTGAAATCTGAATGGTAGCTTGGGTTTAAATCTGTTTTATTTCAAGATAGTTCTTATATCTACGGTGTATAACTTTGAGACAGAAAACATAATTTAAGAAAAAAAATATATCAAAATTAATTTCTTTCACTCTGGCTCAGACTGCTGCAGTTACCACTCACTCAATTTCAAATGTTTGAGAAAATAAAAATTAAAGCTTCTATTAAAGCTGTACCTCTTAGACTTCCTTCTCTTATTGTTAAAAATAATTTACATAGAAAACATAAATGTTTAAGCAAAAATAGTGTGCAAGCTTGTGTAATGGTGTTTAAATAAGAAAATGCATATAGCACCTAGTACATTGCTCTAATTTGATATGGATGGGTACTACCCAAATAGACATTTTCTGCTATATGAGGCCAAATGTCTGTAAGGCTCAATGTGAACTGGATGTAGCATGGGTATGGAAAAGCAGAACACAAATTAAAATCTAGATGTGTGTGTATCTCTCTCTAGATTTTAGATTTTAAATTGAGGGCTTTTTGTTTTGTTTTTTAAATATGTATGTAGGACTGAATTTGCTGAGTTATAAAATTTGTGGAAATTCAGCTTTAGAAGATACTGCCAAACAATTTCCTCATACTTAAACAATGTATGAGTGTTCAGGTTGCTCCACACATACTCACCAACACTTGACAATCCTTTCCACTTTGAACATTCTTGTGGGTGTACAGGGTATTGCACTAGGTTTTAGTTTGCATTTCCTTGATGACTACTTAAGTTGAATGCTTCAGATTTATTGGCTAATATAATTCTTATTAGCTGAATTGTGTCCCCCACAAATTCCCATGTTGAAGTTCTAACCCCTCAGTAACTCAGAATGTGACTATATTTGGAGATAGGACTTTTAAAGGTTAATTAAGGTCATATGGGTAGTCCCTGGTCCATTATGACTGTTGTCCTTAAGAAGAGAAAGAGACAACATGAATGAGTTGGCACAGAGGCAAGGACATGGGAGAATATAGCAAGGAGGCAACTTTTGCAAGCTAAGGACAGAGGTCTCAGGGGGGAAAAAAATCAAACCTGCTGACATCTTGATCTTGGACTTCTATCCTCGAGAACTTTTAAAAAATAAATTTCTGTTGTTTAAGCTACCTAGTCTGTAGTATTTTGTTATGACAGCCCTAGCAAACTAATACAATATTCTCTTTTTTATAAAGAGACTTAGCATGACAGTCCTGGAAAACTTTCAGAAATAATTCAATAACTTTATGAATCTTACTTTAATTCCTATAAATCAATATAACTTTAATTCATTATTTTAGAACTCAAGAATTTAAAATACCTACTTCCCAGACAAAGAGTATGAAAAAAATATTGGGACTACTAAATTTCCAAATGCCCAAATTAGCTAAGTACTATTCTCAGAGGGGAAAAGCAATTTATAAAAGAAATAACCAGATATACGTTTCTGATATATATCTCTTTTAATAGTCATTTTGGAAATCTTGTGAATGGTATATGCAGAAGGCTTACTGGGAGTCAGTCACATAGATACAAATGTCACTCTGCATTATAAACTAAAGTAATTAAGAGTTCTCACATGCTGTAGGAGTAAATGACATTGGCCTGGGTCCTCCAGGATTTATTGGTGGGAGGGGTGGCATGGTGGGAGGTGAGGATCTTGACTGTATCTTCACTTCCACAGGCGATCCAGGCATTGCTGGTACCCTTTTCTCAGGACCAACTGTAGAAAATAAAAGAAATAGAGGTCAGAGTTTTCTATAAAATAATAAAAATAGTGACAATAATTTGAAATACGAACATACCAGTATTTTCCTAGAGGACTGAGAAGAAAATGCTTAGTTTAATAGACTGAATAGTGGTCCCCAGAAAGATATCAAACCTCTTAACCCCTTGAATTGTAAATGTTTCTGTACTTGGAAAAAGGGTCTTTGAAAATGTAGTTAAAGATTTTGAGAGGAGGAGATAATCCTGGATTATCTGGTGGGCTCCAAATCCAATATAAATGAAACCCTCATAAGAAGAGCTGAAGAGATGCATACACAAACAGAAGACAACGTGAAGACACAGTCACACAGAGAGGACAGAGTGACAATGGAGGCAGAGACTGAATGATGCATCTACAAGCCAAGGAATGGCAAGGATTATCAGCCAGCACGACAAGCCAGGAAGAGAGGCATGGAATCGATTCTTCCTCTGAGGCCCCAGGAAGGAATCAGCCCTCCTGATACCTTCATTCTAGACCAGTGATGGCGAACCTTTTGAGCTCGGAGTGTCAGCATTTTGAAAAACCCTAACTTAACTCTGGTGCCGTGTCACATATAGAAATTTTTTGATATTTGCAACCATAGTAAAACAAAGACTTATATTTTTGATATTTATTTTATATATTTAAATGCCATTTAATAAAGAAAAATCAACCAAAAAAATGAGTTTGCGTGTCACCTCTGACACACGTGTCATAGGTTCGCCATCACTGCTCTAGACCCTGGCCCCTGGACTGTGAGAAGATTGTTGTTTAAGCCACCCAGACTGCGGGACTTTGCTACAACAATCCTAGAAAACTACAACAAGGCAACGAGGTCAAAGATTGAAAGTTAACAGTGAGGACAGGGGCTGGGAAAGAAAGAAACCAGTTTATAAATTCTGCTGATCCCAACTACATTCTGTATAACTTCTCTTTATGGATGAATCAAGTTAATAAGGGGGAAAAACTAATGGGGAACTATTTAGATCAGTAGGTGTCAACTGCATGGCATAGAAACAAATATAATCAGTTGTACTATGCATGAAGTACTAAATTTTTGTTGTTGTTGCTAATCCTCACCCAAGGATATTTTTCCATTGATTTTTAGAGTATGGAAGAGAGGGAGGGGGAGAAACATCTATAGAAATATTGATGTAAGAGAGAGACATTGATTGGTTGTCTTCTGCAAACAGGATAGAACCTGCAACCTAGGTACATACCCTTGACTAGGAATCAAAGCCAGACCCTTCGGTGTATGGGTGGACACTCTAACCAGCAAGCAACACTGTCCTGGGCTAAAGCACTAAATTTTTATATATATCAACTACTCTAATAGAAAAAAAGAAGTGGGTTCAACATCTTTGACATCAGGCATATAAATGTCGCTTATAATATCTGTTCAAAAAGATGAAAAGTAGAGATGATTCTAAAAAACCAAGCACAGGCTACTTCACCTATGAGGATAATACATAAGCAGTGTTTGGTAACACTAGGCAGCAACAAATTCCAGAAAAGATAAATTTTATAGATTATACTTAATTACATTAGAATTAGGTCTGAGCTCATATAAATAAGACTTGAGCCCTAGCTGGTTTGGCTCAGTGTACAGAGCATCAGCTTGTGGACTGAAGGGTCCCAGGTTTGATTCCAGTCAAGAGCATATGCCTGGGTTGCGGGCTTGATCCCCAGTGTGGGGTGTGCAGGAGGCAGCCAATCAATGATTCTCTTTCATTAATGTTTTTATCTCTCTCTCCCTTTCCCTTCCTCTCTGAAATGAATAAAAATTATTAAAAAAAGATTTGCTTCTGAAGAGCAATATTTTAATATATTCAAAGTAATTTTCCATATTAAAGGGAATTTGTTATATACATGGTTAATAATAGAGCCAAGGCTACCATAATCATCTTTAAATTGAGCTATTTGCCTCTCAGTAATTCAAAGCTTTTCACTTAAGTTCCATGTACTTATTCTCCAATAAATCCAAGTAAAGTACAAGAAATGGACACCAAAGGTTCAACTGAGAATGTTAAATCAAAGATTTCTTTCAGTGGCATCACAGTTGTAAACACAACACATACAAGAGCATTCATGACAAGGCAATAGGCACATCTTCGCACATTCATGCGCATGGTCTAATGAGGAAAATATCCCCAAATAATATTTTTAATGCTTCAGTTTGCCACATTTTGGGGAAGAAATATAACGAATACAGAAAGTCAATCAAGGAAGCAATGCCCCTAAATTGCAAATTCCCCAACAAAAATGTGCAGCTCTCCAAGAGCCATGTGGGCAACACTCTGCCAGCCTTCCCCCTCTCTCTGTCCAGGACATTTTCTTTGTAAAATTGATGGTTGTCCTGTCTGATTAGTGGACTAATGAGCTGTTGCGCTTGCCTTTTTCTTTTTGACAGTATTTTCTCAATGCCCTTCAGAGAAAAGTTGACACATTTCCAGCACTTCCATCTGGGGCCCAGCTTTCTGGAGGAATGGGGGGTGTGGGGGATAGGGAAGGAAGGAACTGACAGTTGTCTCGCACTGTTATGTGTTGTGTATGGTGTGCAATAACCTAGAGGGTGTCTTTCTTCAGACCACCTGCCTTTACAGCAAGGGCGCCAAAGGCCTGAGGAAGGCTTAGCAATGAGATGTGTTTTAACATTCAGTACTTGGCAGAATGAAAAACTCAGAGCCGCCCAACTGCAGAATGCTAAATAATATACCAACTAAAAGCTTAGATACTGGGTAAAATTTAGCCCCCACAGTACTATTTACAGATTAAAACTACCCATCTCTTGTTCAGGTCACTTTTCACAGACCTGCAACACTAGTTCTTCCTCATGTTTCAAGCAATGAAAAAGCATGAGTACAGAGACTGAGAGATTTGCTGTGAATCCTCATTCTGTTACTAATGACTTTTTATCAAATAATTAAATATTTTTGGGCCTTATTTTCAACACTAGTAGCTCGGTGCATAGATTCATGCACATTGAAAGGAAATTAATTACAAGAAATATTTTAATATCGCTATCCGCTCTTTCTCTATAGTAGAAGTGTCAAAGACTAAAGAAAATTAGTAAAATGTATATGAAAATAATATATAAATTGATTAATAAATAACAATAACAACAACAAAGACATGATATAAAAACAACATTGATAAAAACAATGACTGGTAAATTGATTAAACTTATTCTGAAATATCCCTGTATACCACATTAACTGTAAAAACACCCTCACAGTGCTTGACTAATTTCCCTTATATTAGTCAAGGGAAGTATTTACAAATTTAACTTTAACGTCACACACTCTTCGAACTCGAGAGAAAGCAACATATAACTGACCATGTCCGAAAACGAGTTCAGGTAGGACTATTCCTACTCTGTCTAGAGTTTGTCCTTGTGATTTATTAATAGTCATTGCAAATGCTGGCACCATAGGAAACTGTCTTCAAATTAATTTAAATGGGAGGCTGGTGTCAGATAAGGACAAATCAATTCTTGGAATCAGAACAAAATCTCCTTCCATAGATCCTGTTAATACTTCAGCTTTGATTATGTTAGATCACAATCTCTTGATAATAAATCTAGTACCATTATAAAGACCCCATTTACTATTAAGATTTCTCAATAGCATGATTAGACTCACTTTCAATTTTAATTTATAACATGGCATTACCAAAGGAGTAATACTAATAAGAAATTCAATGA